GGCTCAAGTTGTCGACCTGATTGCAGAGTCGAAGCGGCCTTTTGTCGTCACCTGTAACGACGAGATTCTTATTCCCCTGCATACTTTGAGACTGCACGGCATCTTTCGGCTTAGTCTCCCTCCCAGAGACCTTGCCATTGATCGTCTTCTGCTCGTTGCCGCCAACGAGGGTCATGCTCTCCGCCGTGAAGCTGTTGAGACGTTGTATGACTCACGCAACTACGACTTGCGTGGTGCAACGATGGACTTACAGTACTGGTGCCAGATCGGCGTCGGTGACCGAAGAGGAGGATTTGATTGGTTCTACCTTCGCTGGCCGAAGGGCATAGACCTCGACGAAAACAACGAGGTTGTGAGGGTCATAAGCCAAGACACATACGTTTCAGGAATGAATCTTTTGGCACGCGACAGGATCACAGGCGACAAGGTTTCGGCAGAATTTGTTGAACAGGAACTTATCCAGCAAACTTGGGGTTCGTGGGGGCTTGATATTGCCAGTTGGGAGAAGCCAACTGGGCCGCCTACACTTCAGACTTGGGCAGAGAGCCTGCAACCCGGCCTCGCCACACCGGCCTCTAAACTTGCTGCATTGGAGGCCTTTGACGACATGGCCGACGCAATGAGTGCGGCTGATATATGCTCTATGAAGTCTTTTGCCGCATACAAAGAGGTAAGATGATCCCAGTTTCGCCAGCGATGTGTTTACTGACTTTTTCCCAGGAGATCATTGATGCTACGCAGCCCGACTCGCTCGTAGAGGGCGACTTGATAGTTGGGCTGAGATACCTCGACACACCTCGTATTGCCTACTACGATTCCTTGGCGACTGATATACCCTCCGCCGTGAAGTCTTTTGCAAAATCAACTTTGCGAGAATACACAGAGACTGTTCAGAAAGGAGCTTCTGATGAGCTCCGGCCCCTGAACGAGAAACAGACGATTGACTTTATTCAGTCGTGTTTTACAGATACGCTTCCTGGTACTCCAGCTGTGGCGCGTATCGACTTTGCATTTGCTTTTGATCCCATTGCCACAGAGGGGCCTAGCCTACAGCCTACGGCGTGGCTTGATCCTTCAGTCTTTGATCGGACATTGAGGCTGATCGCTCTGGACGTCGCACCCTTTGTTCGCGGCATTGTTGCATATGATGTGCATCTCCAAAAGGAGCGCCTGAAGCGGAGCAACTTGTTGAGCGAAGGTGGACAGGGCCGCACAGGCACTAAGCGGATGAGAACTACGAGAGCTGCTCTTTCTGCCTTGGAGGGTGGCACGAGGAGCATGGTACGTGGTGAAAAGTGGTTCAAGACTGATATGAACACATATTTGGTTGCAAAGACGGGCGGAGCGGGGTGGAATGATTTTGAAGTTGAGGAATCCGAGGCATCTTCGCTCAAATCAGCTTCTATTGCCAGCTGGGACGAAGTCACATCTCCTGATGCATCGCCTGTGAAGGCTCCGCTAAAGAAAGCGCGTCGGGGAAGACCAAAGAAGAAGGTGGTTATTGATGAAGATGCAGACGAGTTTTGAGTATGAGACTTGACTAAAAGAGGTTGGCTCGCATGGTTAGTAGCATTTACAAAAGGGGAGTCACGGTCAAAGTCATAAATTGGCATTTACAGAGGGGTTTCAATAATGGGTTGTAAATAGTGGCAGATACTTTAGCATATATATACACATAAAATAGATAGCAGTTTTTTGCAAAATAGATCTGAAGGTGAAATGTTTGAGTGTTATAACTACCAGTGTTGTAAATTACAGTCTTTCCAGCTGATTCAATCCTGCCATTTTGTGTTCCCATTTCGTTATCGGTCATCCAATTTCATACTCGTTAAATTCATCAAGTCGTAAAATACCATGAGATCCCATCGTACAACAATGAAAAGAAGCGGAAAAGACAGCGAGAAAAAAAGAAGAAAAAGACAGCAAGTAAGCAAATATCAAAGAGATAAGATCAACGAGATAAAGCCAAAACAGCGAAATAAAAGGTAAAGAGACCAAAGAGCAACAATAAAATAAACCCAAGAGCAAAACTCCTTTCCCAAACCATCATACTCCTTTTCCCCCTTTATCCCCATTTATCTCCTTTTAGATCCATCACCTATAACCCCACTCATCCCTGACATACTCCCTCCTCACATTTCCAGTGCCCCCACCAATCGACGCCCTCCTAGCCCTTCCCGGCTCCCGATAAACATACACAACCTCTGACCCCAATCCCGACATTGCTTCTTCCTCATAATACCTAGTCCCACCACTAGAAGACGAAGTAGTCACCACCGACGAACTCTTGGTCACAGGCACAGCCGTCCGCCCAACCAAGACCTCCGTCCTGGCATATACCGGAGGCTCTAGAGCAGCAGCAGCAGCAGCAGTTGTAGTATACCTTGCCACAGGACGCATAGTACTACTTCCAAACTCTGGGTTCGAATGACTCGGTGTCCGCTGAGGAGGAAGATAATACTGTCTATCATCTATTTCCCTCGTAACCGACCTGGACCTCGACCTCGATCTCGACCGACGTCGTTGAGGTCTCACCGCATTTCCCTTGTTTAGCGTCGTATTCATATCCGTTATCGTCTCCCTAGATAAACCCCTTCCTCTACTCGAAGCAGAAGAATAAATATCTGATTCCGTCTCGGAAGAAGCATATTCGTAGTATCCCCGACGAGGAGGACTATCATGACGATCTCTAGACCTAGACCGGGATCGAGATCGTGCTCGATCAGCAGCTTTACGAGCTAATTTTTCGTCTCGGAGCTTTTTGGCGTGTTTGGAGAGCTCCCAATCTTCTTTTTCGCCGTAGGGATATCCTTTGGGCCAGTATTTATGGGCGAGGAGAGAGGCGGCTGCTATGGAGCCTAAAAAGACCAAGGGGACTTTTTGGGAATGGTGAGGGGTGGATTCTTTTTTGCTGTGGCTACTCTTGGAAGAGGTGGTTGAGGGAGGTTCGGAAAATGTTACGGAGCGGGAGTGGGAGAGAGAGCGCGAGGGACTTCTGTAGGGTTGGTGGGAGAGGAGAGGGGGGGGGGTTGGTGGGGGAGTGTGATAGGTTGGCATTTTTGGATGGATAATGACTGGTTCTCTTCTGTGTGTGCGGCGGAGTCTTTTTGATATGGAGTAGATAGGTAGGATTGTGGGAGATTTGGGGGGAGAGAGATGAAAAGAACCCGTGCCGTAACCCTTGGGGGTTTTTGTGTGAGAACGAAGCTTTTTGCTGTGCCGCTGAGTGAGAGAGATGCTCTTGGAGAGGCACAACGAAAAGAAAGAAAGGGGAAAGGGGGTTAAAAAAGAGGAGGTAATGGGTAGAATATTAATTTAGTTCTGGAAGATAAGAAGCATCCAATTCCGGGTGGTGTGGTGGTCATCCGAATGGGTGTGAGGCCAGATTTGAAGTAGTCGAGGGCAGCCCGAGCGGAAGGAAGAAAAGAAAAGAGGGAAAGGAAAATGCCCCCGCGCCGCACAACACAGACTTCTTCCACACCGACTCTGAAACTGGTGTGGTGGGTGGTCAAGAGAATTGCAAAGAAAAAATTTGATTGTCAAATCAGATGTCGACAAAGTTTTGTGTTACCGTCACTGATCGAATCGCGATGAGCAGTGTATCCGTGTGCTGCAGTCGTCATGCGCCATGGATTCCATATAATGATATTTGCCTGGTTTGTCTGTACTCTGCATAAGGTCATGGACGGAAGAGGACACAACATGACAGCCAACCGCCCCTTTTCGGGAATTGACATTTTTGTGAAGCCATATCCAACTCTGTCGATCCGGGTCTGGGTCTGGTCTCGAGGGACAATATCGAGGATCCCTAGATACGTGGTCGATCTCGGAAAGCGACCGCTCTTCTCACTTACATCCCACGTCCCGATCCCTGCTTGGCAAAGTGATGATGTGAGTGATTGCTCGCCAAAGACGGGAGCTTCCCATTAATTCCTTGGCAAAATCTGCCCCCAACCCAGCCCAGCCTAGCCCACTTGTTTTGCCCAATTGTTTCGACCACAGGTCTTGACCCCCGCCCGGAAACCAAACAACCCTCTTCACATCTCGAAAACAAGTCCAAGAATTGCAATGAAAAAAGTTTGGAAAATGAAAATTCGCATCGCCCGGAGACAGTGTAAGACCAGGGATACTGTGGAAAAATTCTCCATGGGATATACCCAGTGAAAGAAATTTCCATTTGACAAAAATTGTAATGGGTTGAATAGTCCCAAGTGATTAAACTTGAGAAGAACAGATACTACACTTGATCTTAGCCTAGTTCGGCAGAGACAGGTAAGGAGAAAAGAGAAAAGTAGATTGACAAGAGGAATGAAAGGAGAAGTATTTATACTTTGGGTGAAATGCTGCCCATGTCCTCCAGAGTTGTCCTCAGTGCTTGGCAAAAAATGAAGACACACGAATTGTCCTCAGATCTGAAGCCATTTAGAGTCGGATTTGAAAAGGCAGCGATAGTAACAGCCTAAGCCTAACAGGGCCCCTGTGTCCGAAAGGAATCGGAGTTCGGAAGCTGACAAGATGCGACATCGCCGACACGGGCTCTGGACTTGAAGCTTCCCGTCTTGTCCGCTCTTTTGAGTTTGATACTGAGATGACGAGGATCGCCCGAATAGTACTGTGTAACTTGACACGAGTACTGGGCACACCAAGCTGAGATTGAGAGGCGTTGGGCGATGGGATGTGTGCTGCAGGAGGTTCCAGGTTGTTGGCCGCTTAGTTAGTGAATTTGGACTTTTGCATGGAAACTCACTCCAATCAACCCGTTTGCACTAACAGTGCCTTCTGCATGCAAACTACCACACATCGGTTTCGTTCATGCATCTCGCAATCGAGGATCGATCCTGAGAGTTCCTGCTCGAGAGAGCTATGAAGCCGATGATAAAGAACACAGGTGCATTTTAACCATCGCAAAGATGAATATCGTGAATAAAATGAAAACCTGGGAAAATAAGGGTATTATAAAATAATAACAAAATAATAAAAAAATATAAAAAAAAATCATTTGTCCTCGGTCGGGTTCGAACCAACGTCTCCTGGTGTCTTAGGTGGTTCGGGAAAGTCAAACCCTGAAAGAGCATCAAGTGTTAACCACTGTGCTACGAGGACATTTGGCAGACTCATTTTTTAAAATCTAAATAGCCCTGGGGGGAGTGAGCCTTCGTTGTGCTCTGAAAAGAAGGTTTGGTTCTGGTGGGTTATGTGGCTTGATGGTTTTGCTGGGTGATGTTTGATGGAGGATGGGAACCGGAGGACAGAGTGGATGAAAGAGGGGCATCTGACGCGTTGATGGTTACACTTGGGGCAAATGCGGGGGGTAATCGCGTGCGAGGTGATAAATCAAAATGGGCTCGCAGAGTATCGCAAGAAAGGATTTTAAAAATGCAAAACCAATCGAGTTCAAATAAAAGGTGTTCTGGATTTCCCATCAACTCTTTCTTTCAAGCACCTTTCCTGTCACGCCTGTGCCCTGGCCGCTTCCCCACTAAAACATCCACTAAAACATCCCCCACTAAAATCCACCCGAACTCAAAATCATGACGCAGACTCAGCAAGCTGCATCAGTCATCTAGTCCCGACATCCTGGACAAACCTGTGAACCCCCAAACCGGTCGACGATTGGTTCGTGTCGATCATTTCTGTCTTGAATCTCCGTATAATGAAGCTCTCAATTTCAATTCCTCTGTTGTCCAATGTTCCACCTGATATGTGAATTGTTTACTTTCCGCCATTGAACAATTGAAGAATTGCCACGAACCTCGTCCTCCAATGCCATGAATGTCAATGACGCGCCTGCGGGAGCCGGGACTGGTACGATGAGTACCGCAGTGGTGACTCCAGGAGAAGATACCGAAACACCCTACAGCTTGGGGACTGAGGCTACTACAAGCAATCATTTCAACAAGAAAACAGCCAATGCCTTGGATCCAAGCCCCAGCGATGCCGCCGATCAAGATAAACCCGAAGATGGAGGACCGGCCGGGAAGAAGCCTGGATTGCTGTCTCGTATTGTTGCGAAGTTGGGACTGGATGCGCCTACATTGATCACCATGTTCAAGTGAGAAAACTACCCATACCTATCCCTTCAACTGGTCCAATTGGCTGATATTGGCATGCGCAACAAGAGGTTCTCTCCCTCCAACCATTGGCATTGCCATGTATCAATCGTCGGCCGTGTCCTCCTACTTCGTCACAGTAGGTTACCTCATACCAATAGTCACGATTCTTGGATTGGCGGTTCTGCCCAGGGGCAAGTTTCTGATGAGCCTACTGCTCAACATTCTGGCTGTCTGCTTTGGCTCCGCCGTCTCCATGTTGACCCTCTGGTCAGCCATCAAAGCCCGCGAGAACACAACCCCGCCGGGAACCCAACCTACACCAATACCGACTTACAACTCCAGCCAGTCTGCTGTGTGTGGTGTGTGGCTCTTCTTCAACATCTGGTTTGGTAACGTCGTCCGCGCCAAGCTGCCTGCCTTCAACCTCCCAGTCATAGTCTACAGTATTCTCGTAAATGTGGCAACGACCAATGGCCCATTCATGACCAAGGTTAGTACGGCAGAAACATTCGTCAAGCAGCTGATGACTTCAATGTTGGTTGCACTGGCACTATGTCTGGGAGTCAATCTACTGGTGTTCCCGATCAGCAGCCGGTTAGTTGTGTTCAAGGAGTTTGAAGGAGCCATTGGCCTTCTGCGGAGAACTGTCTCGCTGCAAAAAGCCTACTTGGTCAGCATAGAGTCGGAGGACATGTTTGCCACCGTTACGAGGACAAACACCACCGCAGCTGGGCTCAAAAAAGGAGAAAAACCACGGTTGACCAAGGAAGAGAAGGCTGCCACGGCCTTGAGGGAGACTGGAGGCAAGCTTAGAGAGCTTGCAGGAAAGCTTCACGCTGATGTTCCCTTTGCTAAGCGGGACTTTGCTTGGGGAAAACTTGATGCAAAGGAAATCAGTAAAATATTTGCTCTGCTCCGCAATGTATACATACCAATGTAGGGCTTTCTCATCCTTAACTTCTCATTTCAAGCTCCGCTAACATTGGATCCAGACTTGGTATGATGACGATTGTCGACATCTTCAAGCGCGTATCCGAGCACCGCGGATGGAACCATGACGATGACGACGTCCCACCAGAGGTGGCTGCCGATAAAAAACGAGAAATACATATCTGGAATGAGGTCATGAAGCAGATCCATGAACCATTCGAGATCCTTTCCGAGGCGATTGACCAAGGTCTTGAGCATGCAGGTATCTGCCTGGAGATCCTCCCAAGGCCAAGAAAGGCCAAAAAGGATGATATTGACGTAGAAGCCAAGGGAGAAAAGGTTTCCCCTGGAGATCCCGCCCTCGCCAGCGTGATCAATGACAAAATTGCGGCCTTCAATTCCACAAAAGGGGAATTGCTGAACACATGGATCAAGGAAAGGGGCTTCAATCCCATTCCTGATGAAGACGACTTGAACAGCCCTTCGTCATACTGGCCGAATGGGAGAGAGCGCGACCAAGTACAGCTCTACGTCGTCCTCTACATGGAGAATCTGATGCAAGCCTCCGGGAAAGCAGTCCAAGAACTTGTTGCATATGCCGACAGCAAAGTCCAAGATGGAACCATGTCCAAAAAGCGACTTATTGCTCCGGGTTACCACCGCTTGCGAAAGTGGTTTATTGCTGTGGTCAGGAATGAAGACTCGTCCGCCGAGCAGAGTCCTGATCTTATGGAAACCAGCAACACCATCGTCTCATTTGGGGACGGTTACAATCTGAAGAGGGATCCAGAACACCTTCCTCCCGCCACGTCCTGGGAACGGTTCGGGAACGGACTGAGGAAGATATCAAAGTTCTTTGGGTCAGAAGAGTCAATGTTTGGATTTAGAGTCGCCTGCACCACCATGACGGTTGGCATCATGGCCTTTCTAGAGAGCACGCAGCGCTTCTTCCAGGAACAGCGTCTCGTTTGGGCCATGATCATCATTGCCATCGGCATGACCATGACTTCCGGTCAATCATTCTTTGGCTTCCTGTGCAGAGTTGGAGGTACCGTCATTGCCATGGTGTTTTCTCTCATCATCTGGTACATTGTTAACGGCCGAACCGGCGGTGCCATTGTCTTTCTGTGGTTCTTTACCTTTATCGATTATTATTTCTTCGTCAAGTTCCCTCGGCTACTCCCAGCGATAATGATCATTATCGTCACGCAAGTTCTTATCATAGGATACGAGCTCCAAACCCTCGCCATCGGACGAGAAGTTGCCGAACGGACAGGTCAACCATACTATCCCACCTACCTACTCGCTCCGTATCGTCTAGCATGCGTAGCCGGAGGCAGTTTAGTAGCCTTCTTCTGGACAATCTTTCCCTCTCCTCTGACAGACCGTACCTGGCTCCGCCGAGATCTATCAGCAACCCTCTACCTCGTAGCCAACTACTTTGGTGTCATCAGCTCTACCCTCCGCTCCAACCTCGACGGCACAGCAGGCGACATTTCAACTCCAGGAACACCAGCCCATCACCTCCACAAAATTGGCCGCAAGATCTTTGGAAAAGTTCAGATGCTCGTTCCGTCCATGTCTCAACACTCGGAATGGCAAAAATGGGAACCCACCATAGGCGGGAAATTTCCCCGGGAAGCCTACGACGATATAATCCTTCGCAGCACGCGCATCATGGCTTATCTAACCTTGATTAGCTACACGCTTATGCATCCTACGCATTCATTTTCTCGGCCGGAGGAAGAAGAGCAGGAGCAAACCAGAGATGATGCTGATAATGACCCCAACCCTCAGCAGAAGCCTTCTTCTGTCACTTCAAACCAAAGCAGGGAATGGCTAGACGCAATGGCCAAAGTACTCCTCACACTCAACCCAACCCATCACAGTATTCTATCCACTCTTACTTTACTCTCCAATTCCCTTATATCAGGCCAGAGTCTCCCTCCTTTTTTACCTTTACCAAAGCCATACGAACTCACTCGTCGTTTAATGCGTCTCGGTCAAAACAACCACTCAAAAGACTCTCAAGAAGAGACTGGGGAAGAAGAAGACGACGGACCACCTATTCATCTCGTTGACTCTAGGACAGGCCTAGGAGATTATGACGATGATAATTACAGTAAACATTACAAACAAGCAAGGGCTGCTGCTGATTTATTGGATCCCAAAAATATGGAACAACCGGGTTATGCAGAGTTTGCCGTGCTGCAAGTATGTACGACGCTGGTTTGTGATGATTTGAGTGGATTGGTGAGGGCTGTTAGTGGATTAGTTGGAGTTGTGGATTTTAGTTTCTCGTTTGAGGATGGGAGTGAGGGGAGCAATGGTTTTGCGAATGGAAAAGGTGGAAAAGGAAAAGGGAAGAAGGGAAAGGGCAAGGTTGATTAAACGGTCGAGGGAGTTACGTTGGGATATTATATATTTACTATATGCTTGGGTTAATTAGGGATTTAGGTAGGCGTGGGCTTGGATTTAGATTTTATATCATGACCAGACTGTCCAAAATGTCTACTTCTACTTGAAATTTCTGAACAGCGATTTCTCTGCCTGTCCCCTGTTCCCGCGGCTCGTGGATGTAGGAGTGATTATTATTGAACTTGAGCTTGATAATCAGCATAGGGATCACGATAGTATGAGTGGCCAGTACATGTCAAATGACAACGGAAAAAAGAAGTAATGAATCGTCCAAAAATGCCACTGATGGACTCAACAGAGTAGCATATAATGCATCAAGAAGCCATAAAGGCTATCTCATCTTCTTCCCCCCACCACGAAATATACGTATCTCTGCTCTGTACTTGTCTGTGCAACCTGCATCTACTCTCCTTCCCTCCCTCCTTATCTCTAAAAACTGCATAACATTGGCAGTACCCGGTCAAACGAGAGAAATGAGAGAAATAAAAAGAAGCCCAGGCAGCAATGAACCACAAACACAAGCATAGCAGACCTGGAAAATAAATAACTTTGTCTCTCTCATACACACCTTTTACCCCTTTCCTTTGAGCATCTCTCCCAACCTTGGAGATGATCAACTGCTATACGTAACATGATTGGTGCCTTAGTTTGGGATAAAGACCAAGATGAAAAAGAAAACCGTAAACGATAAAAAAGAATAAA